TGACAAAATATGGGTTATATGATTGCAGAAAAGGATAACAGATGTGTTGAGGAAATATCATTACCGCTTATGCTAATTAGTAGACTTGCTGGACTCACTGGAATTGTTTGTTGCACCAACCTTTAGTCCTGCAATCCCAGGTTCTCCCGGTAAGCCTTGTTCTCCTGATTTTCCTGGACAGCCTGGTTGTCCTTTAAAACCTTGATATCCTTTATTTCCTACAAAGAAAAAAAGTCCAATAATAAGTGATAGGGTTTGACTGACTTGTGCACAGTTTATATCTACTTTCTTAAGTTATAACGTTTTCTTCCCTTACTAAGTTTATGAACTTGCAGAAAGAATGTGGCAAGGAACATGCAGTTACAACAAGCTGTCAGAAGGTAGAAACTGCACGGTGCCCCTGACTGCTTGTTACTAACTTAGAAGGAATTTTGGCCACAATTTCATGGCCAAGCAAGCAACCTACAACTGGACACTATTGCCAGGACCATGGGGGCCTTGCTTTGCTTTCAGTTGTCCCTGGTCTCACAGAATTCTCTAGAATAGTTTCCTGCACTACTACCAATTTCTGTATGGAACCCACTAGCCTCCGTGCACTGTTTAAATTGTTTATGCTCTACCTTTCTGTTCTGAAACTGAAACTCTCCCCACATACACCAAGGTGGTCATCAGTATCAGATCATTGCAACATCCACCTGAATCACCATATGTTTTGAATCCAATATTCTCTATAGCTTTTGGCCTGCAGTCCATTATTTTTACCCACCAACTCCTTCCTGGATTGATATATTGGACTAGGCTTTCAACTTTATAGTATTTCATGTCATGTTTGATTAGTATTGAATATTAGATATTTAGCATGTTCTATCTGAGAATATGGCTTGAGTATACTACTTAGTGATCTAACTAATACCTTGATCTAGTTTTAGCTGTTATCTTGATGGTCCTGTTCCCATGTTCCTAAGTGAACATTTACTTAGTAAAGAATATCTACATACAAAACCTATTTTGAAATGTTTAATAGAAATTGTTTTCATAGTTTCTAACCAATCTAGGTTATGAAATTTCAAGTGAATAAGTTGGAATGGAAGCTGACAAGCAGGATCTATGTCAAAGCTTCATTACAAACAAAATAATAAAAATTATATTGTTCATTGTCACAGAATGCAAGGACAACAAGTAACAGCACAGAAAACATATATAAAAGAAGCAATATTAATTTGTATAAGGGATCTAGTATGTATGGAGCACATGCTTCTGGTATCTAGCATGTTGAAATGAACAGGCCCTGTCTGAAATATGATTTACTGTCAGTCAGTATGCTTATATTTCTAATGTCAGACTGCCAGTGGTCCTCTTATTTATGTTTTATTTTGAATTTTATCTAATGAAACAATATGAAACACCTAGTAGCAGTCCTTTAAAATAAAAAGATGCAGCTGAAGTGCTGTCATGAAGATACAACTATGCATATAGGACAGAACAGCTGTAATTGGCAGTTGTGGTCTGAAGTTCTCAAGGTTATCATTGGCCATTTTTCTCATCAAATAAAATAAATGTTACCTTTCAGACCAGCATAACCAGGGAATCCATTCTCTGATAAGCCTGGATCACCTTCTGGTCCTGGGAGGCCTGGGTTACCACGCTGCCCTCTGGCCCCAACACTACCTATCAAAGAATGCAAAGCAAGTTCTAGTAGCTTTTGGATGACAGCACCACCTTCTTCAGAAAAGAACCCAGACACTTCAAACAGTGGAGGAGAAGGAACCGCATTACAAAAATAATAGCATCTTCCGAGTTTTCCTTCAGGGATATCTCAAGATGGCTATTGGTTACATTTATATTCTGCCTTTCCTCCAAAGAAATCAGTGTGTTGTATATGATTCTCCTTCTATCCACTTCATTTTTTCAACAGCCCTGTGAAGTAGGTTGAAGTGAGAACTGGTTATTGGTCCAAAGTCACCCATAGTCTAGCCAAGTGGGGATTCAGACCTGTGTCTCCCCAGCTCCAGTTCAGTACTCCGATCTCTATTCTACATTGGCTCTCAGTGCGGGGACCCCTAGTGCTGCCAGTCAGAAGGTACTATGCAGCTGTTCTATCTTCTCTTAACATATTTTCTGTAGTGGGAAAAGATGGAAGGAATGCTGAGAAAACACAAGAATTACAAGTAGAAGGGATGATCTTGGACCTCCTGTAAGCTTCTATGAATAAGTTAGGGTAATGAGATTGTAAAACTCTCATCTGGGAACACCTTTTCTCTCAAAATGTTTCTGCCAGAGAGTTGGGTCACATGTTATCTAGTAACAGTGCCAAAAATTATCTTGATTTGACTTTACTTCTGTTCAATATTCTTTCAAATTCCTCTCTAGGGTACTTCTTTGGGTAGTGACAGCTGCTTGGCTGAATTGGCCATGACAGATTTCAGATTGTCTTTCCATGCAGAACTTCAGATATGCTTAGTTTTGCAGTAGTTCAGCTTGAAGAAGTAGCTCTTACCTTTTACTCCTTCTAGTCCTGGTCTGCCATCTGGTCCTCGAAGTCCAGGTGATCCAGGAATTGCATTTACTTTACCAGATTCACCTTTGAGCCCTTTAAATGGATTTTTTAAAAAATCAATTCTGTCATGTTTAAATGAATATTCATTAAGGACAGTGAGGTTCTTCAGCCTTACACATCTTGAAAGTGTCAGTGTGATAGCTCCAGTATTGATACAATGATCAAGGATCATATGGATACCAGAAGGTACCCAGTAAATTCATTCTTCAGGTATCAGTAAGACCACCCAACTGCATGAATCAATGGAAAAGCAAGCTGATACAAATCAGAAATGTCATAGAATCATAGAATAGTAGAGTTGGAAGAGGCCATGAAGGCCATCAGGTCCAACCCCCTGCTGTTGCAGGACACCATGTTATACCATCCCACTCAGATGGCTGTCCAGTTTCTTTTTGAATGTCTCCAGTGTGGGAGAGCCCACAACCTCTCTAGGCAACTGGTTTCACTGTCATATTGCAAATTGACTTGATTATTTTGTGTCCTACAGTTGGTGCGCCTTCTGGAAATTTACTAGGAATCAAGATTTCTGAGCTTTTCCCTCTCAGGTTCTGAAAGGAGCTCACTAGCATCTACATGGACTGCCATATGAGAGAGATGGTTTACCTTGGTGTCTACCCTGAGCAGGGGGCTGAACCTGATGGTCTTCTGGTCCCTTTCAACAATGATTGTATGATTCTACATGGATCAGTAGTAGAACAGATGTCACTGGGAGCCTGGGTAGAATATATCATTGCCTTGTTTAGATTGCTCTGCATTGATGAATGCAGCTGCTCCCCACCACCAACCAAAATAATTTGTTTTTTTACTCTGAAGGGCTGGATCAGGACCTCTGTGTGTCTATGTGGTTGTGGTGGGGAAATATAGCATAGTTTTAAAGATCCAGATTGAAGCCCTTGTGCCAGTTTAAAGTAATGTCTGTTTTGACCATCAAATGCCTTACCTTGCATGCTGAAAGAACAATGATATGTTAATGTAGTGTCAAGTTGACATTTCTCAAAGAAGAGACTATACTGAACATTTAGATTGTTCTTTGGGATTGTACAATTTATCCAGTGCCACCTTCTGCTTTTAAATCTACCATAGATGACAATGACAACAACAACAATGTGATTTACTGACCAGCTACTCCAGGAAGCCCGGGCAAACCAGGTTTTCCTTGAGATCCTTTAGAACCTTCTACTCCTTGTGGCCCATATCCTGCTGGTCCAACACGACCCATCTCTCCAGGAAAACCTGAGCTACCGATTAATCCAGGTGAACCTCTGTCTCCTTTTGGACCATCAGCTCCCTAGGAATAATTTGGAAAACAATGATTAGAGAGCAGTGCTTGAATTCTACTGTATGTCATGATATTCTGTTTTAGCTTGCATGACAACCTATCATGAATAACTAACCACACCAGGTTCTCTTATCACCATCACCACCATCAGCAGGATTATCAAATTTCTATATTGCCACTTAGCCATACAAGGCTCTCAGGGCAGTTTACAAGTTACATTAATGCATAATACAAGATATAATAAAATACAATATAAGACAAGGTACAAGAGTTCAAAAACAGCGACATGTGGCAATAACTACAAGTATTTACAGAATTTATGAAGTTTCTAAGCAATAAGAAGAAGAAGAATTAAAGATAGACAATTCATTATTATCATGTAGCCTATGAGTACAAACCAACCAGCCAACAGCCAGAGTCTCAGATCCAGCCAGGCAACCACTGGGCCTCAAATGAGCACCAATGGGCAGTGCCCAGGCCACTGGTTGCAGGTAAATTGGCCAGCATGGTGGAAGGTGCCATCTCAGAGTAGATGCCCACATAAGTCCACAAATGCTCTCAACTGTTCCTCTGACTTGAAATCTGGGTACATAGGGAAAAGGGTTTTTCTTTTCTACTTTTTTCTGACAACTGTTGCTGTTGGCAAAAGTAGGACTCTTTTGAAAAACAACAACAACAACTAAAACAAATAAACAGGGATTTAGGCAAGGCAAAAGGGGTAGTTTCAACAGGGAAGTACACATATTAGAGATGCCAGATTTTTCTGTTTCACACATTGCAATAAAAAACCCATGGATTAAAGGTTCGTGCTTTATTTAGCTGTTCCTGTTTGCACTAGCAGCTATCAAGCAGCATGATTCAGCACACATATGGACACCTGAAAAAAATCAGTTAATTGCAGTATGAATTTTTATACTCTGCTAAATAAGAAAAGTCAAGTTGGATACAAATGAGGCATATATCTGCCTACAGTAATGTCTATTTCAGTAGATTCAAAGAAACTGTTTCTGTTTCAAAAGTTTCTATTTGTTTGTGTAAGGTAGAACTAAGTAATAGTATGTACAAACCTGTGCACCCACAGGACCTTTTGAACCATCCAGTCCAGGTTGCCCAGGTGACCCATCCAATCCATTTTCTCCTGAGCTTCCTCTGGGTCCTGGTTCTCCTCTGTCACCTTTTGGACCTTCTGGATGGACATACCCTGGTTCACCTTTTGATCCTTTAAGGCCTTGGATTCCTGGAAAACCTTCACTTCCCTAGGACACATTTTATGAATAAAGTCAATGTTGGATACTGTGGAAACAATGCATGTAGAGTCTGTTCTGGCAAAATAATTCTCTCCAGGTACAAAGAGGATTTTCCCATTATTAGCAATTATGCATGTTCTCATAACCTTCCGTTTGGTTTGGTTTGGTTTGGTTTTAAACGTGGTTCTTAACTGCAGTTGGTCCACTGAAGGGTTAGGCCACATTTATTAACTAGCACTGAGCATTTTGAACACGCCTGTGCATTGTCAGCTGCACTAATTCCTAGTCCATTTTTAGGCCCAATTTCAAGTATATTGTAACCTTTAAAAATCTTAATGGTTTGAAACCCTTCAACCAGAAAGACCGCCTTCCCCTATATGTACCTACTAGAACCTTAAGCCCTCCTTTGGAGACTCTGCCTTGAGTGCCCCTGTCAATGAAGCAAGGCATGTAACCACTGAGAAGAAGGCATTTTCAGCAGAGGCACCTTATTTTTAGAACACCTTTCCTGAGAGATTTACCAGTGTCTTGATCACAGAAGCCAACATAGACTCAGAAGTTGAAAATTCAGAGGTGCCAACAAAGAAAGGTGTGAGAACCACTGTAGAACTGGAGACCCCCAAATATGATATGTTTGGCATGCCCATGCTGGAATGAACTATTGTAGTCCATCCCTGAGGTTATTTCCAATACTGGGTCAGTACATCCTCTTACATGAGCGTTACCATCCATGATGCTGATGTGCTAATGGTGTACTCAGCATTGCTTCCTGGAGAGACAGTGTCATGCTAAGCTTTAGTCTAGAGGCCCGTCTGCTGGAGGCTTTCCCCTTGGTAGGAAAGGGTGGAGTCTGAGAAGGTTTTTCTGGACTAAATGGCTTCAGTCTGGTGTCAGAACATAGGCAAGCAAATTGCCTATGAGGAGCTCTCTAGAAATGGCATTAGCCCACTTGTCTTGCCATCCAGAGCCCTGCAGGCTTTTCCTTCAGAACAGAACACAATGGCTGGGCACCATCTTTATGGGTGTTTTGGCACCATGCAAAGCCCCTTTTCCTCAGGTGTTTAAAATTATTTATATTCTGCGGTAAGGGCTATCAGTTTATAATCTATGTCTTAACTGTGTTTTGGTTTCAACAGTTTGTATTTTTTATTTATTAGATTTATATCCCACTTATTTCCAACAAACCCAAATCAGCTTACATCATTCACCTGCTCCTGCTCTCCATCTTATCCCCCCAACAACAATCCTGTGAGGTAGGTTGGGCTGACTGGCCCTAGTTGGCTCCATGACTGAGGGGGGACTAGAACCCAGGTTGTCTGAGTACCAGTCCTGTGCTCTTAACCACTATACCACCCCGGCTTTCTTTTTTGTTTTACATGGTATTTTATTGTATTTTTGCAGGTGAACTTCCCAGAGAACTGGTATTACAGGTTGGATATATATACCACATCATTCATGGACCTGCAGTTGCCAAAGGACTAATGTCTTTTATGATCAACACCATAACGAAAAAGAAAACAAATGCTTTGCCCTTCCAGTCTGGAGATGCTCACTGCTTAAGAATGCAATTACACACAAAGCAATTCAGCATAAGGCTTACCTGAATGCCAGGAGACCCCTGCTGTCCAGGGAACCCTTGGGATCCTTTCGGGCCAAATATACCTTCTACACCTGTAACGGAAATGCTTTGATTTAGAAGAAATGAAAGGGGAAACAGACTAAAGCATCCATGCAAATTATACTACTACTGCAACTAATACTACTGTTTATATAATTTCGGGTGCAATCCATGGACATTTCATGCATACTCAGAAAATTCTACATCTGTTTCTTTAATTTATTATATCTTGGTATCATGTAAATTCTTTACACATGCCATTCAAGAGAAGAAAATACTTCAAGGGCATATTTCTATATATTTTCATGGGTAAGGGGTAGGACAGGAATATGCAGAAATGCATAACATGTCATGATTCCAGAGTTGATCTGGCTGGGTGTGATAGATTCAGTGCAAAGTTCTAGGCCAAATCCTGCCCTTTTAAGACTTTCCACTTTGCAAGGAAGGGGAGACTTCATTGTTCCTCCTTCGGGCCAGAACATACTTTCACCTTTTGCTGTGTTAAAAATGAAAGTGCTATTCAAGTTCATAAGCATTATATTAAAGCCTGCATGTACGTTAGCTCCTACGTCCTAAATGCACATACTTGAAAATTCGCATTGTGCAGGCTAATTAAAATTTGATTCCCATATAAACCTGCTTTGGTTGACAGTCAACAAGCCAAATTCTATCAGTGTGAGCTAGTTGCAGAAATGCAACACTTGCTTTGTGCTGCCCAAATGTTGCCAATTTCAACAGGAGTCATAGATACCATTGAACCATTGAACTTTGACTGAACATAAGTTACCAATAAACTATTAAGAGAAAAAGGTGAAGATAATAAATAGAATGCAAGTGAGGCCTGAAACAAAATGTTGTGTGGAGCACTCCTAATCTGGAGCTCCAGCAGCCACGCACTTCTCTGGAATACTTCATCCAGCTCCAGCTCATTCCCCAGGCTCAGCCCTCCTATCAGTCAGAGTGAGTTGACTGCCTCAAGCAGCAGACTTTGAGTGTCATGAAAGAACTGCAAACACAGCAATTTCATTTATAAAGTCTGTTATTGGCAGGAAGGGGGAGAGGCACTTGTGAACAGATCAGCTTAGGATGCTAAGCACCTTGACTTGGCAGGGTGAGGTTCCATCAGTTGCTTTGCCTCTTGAGCCAGTCCCTACTCCAATACTCTGTGCTCATTGAACATGTTCAGTTCCCCTTAGGACCATCCCACTCTGTCCGTTCTTTTTTCTGAGATACATCTGCAAAGTTCTCATTTCGCCAGACTTGCTTATACTTCAGTCTTGTGCATGGATGGTTTGGCTACATGTGTATCCACAGTCAGATAACTTGGTTTGCTATTACTACACAATACTATCAAACCGATAAAGAATAGCAGGGGTAGCACATGTGTGGCTTCCAGGACCCACTTTGTTCCTTACTAGAATCTTGAACATTAACTAAAATCTGGTGCAAAAGACACACATTTAGGGCAGAAGTCTATGTAGGTTTAGAACGAAAAAGAAACCTACAACTTGTGGCATAGCTGAGGCTTAGCAGGAGTGGTAGGATTTTATCTCTCTCTAAGCATGCCTAAGATTGCATCCTTAGAAGACCTTGAGCCCAGGAATTTGTTTTAATCTCAGAAATGAGTTTGCACTTCTCTAACACAAACCTCCACTTCTGCACACCCTGCTCCCCAAACATCCTTTATTTCTGCAGTATAATAGGGTGGGTGGGGTCAGTTTGTTAGTCCTATTGTTGAACAACTGGAAGTCAGAAATCCCTGTAGATCTATTGCAAATCATCCAAAGATCTATTGGTAGGTCCTTATCCATAATCTTGCCCACCCAGATCAACAATTTCAGGCTTACAAACTGCATGTTAGTATCTGAACCTAAGAAGATTCCATCTGTATTAGACTGTCTAATTCAGCAGTCAATTTACAAGCAGTGCCAAGCTGGATTTTAATGCTGGTTTGTAATGCACATATATTTTCTAAATCATGTTCTTTATCAAAGAACTTCACTATTAATGGATATGATACACTGAATGACTTTGGGTAGCATATTCTGAAAAATGGAATATACCCTCAGTGGGAAATTTCTATGCTCTACTACCCCCATCTCCAAACCTTGGTAGTTTAGTAATACCATCACCATCTTTTACCTTTAATTCCATGTTGACCCTTAGCCCCAGGAACACCAGGAATGCCAGGTTGTCCTATAGTATAAGTGCACTGGTCACATGGCTCTGCTTTGTCACCTGCAATAAAACGGTGCTTTTGTTAAAGGTCACATTGGCAAATTATATCTGTTGTTGTGAGTCATGCTTCTCCCTGCCACTAGTAATAGTCTCACCAGTACTTCTTTGCCAAACATCTTTATTTTACATGCAAGTCTCTGAGCATACACAAAGTGAAATGTTAATGTTAATGCTCAGGGTACCTGTGAGGTAAGCCGTGTTCAGGGACAGTGACCATTCTTACATACCATTCTAAGCCAAGATACAGTGAGACCTACACAACCAAGAATGAACTGCAATGGGCCTCCAATTTGCAGACTGTTCACCTTCTCCTCCTCCTGCCAAGTTGTTGGGAGGAATATGGAATCTTTCCCTTTTGCCTTCTCTTAACTGTGGCTTGTTGTTTCATCTGACATGAGCCACTAACCATTCACACGTAACAACAGTTCCTGAGTCGTTTAATCCAGCAATTGTTAGAGTCGAGTGGCAACAAATGAGTGTACTATCTCCTGATTATTCATCACTCTTCCACTTTCAATCAACAATGGCCAAGAATGGCCTGTTCCTAAGTTGTTATGTCTGAACCCAGATCTCTGGCATTTTTAGAGGTTAAACAACTCACAGTAAATCCATCAATCACCCATGGTTCTTATTCACCTTTAGTTCTTAACATAATCTGGGACCAGAATAGTCCCCCCCCCCCGATTGGTGTAATTACTACCCCCTTTTAAAGACACCAGCACCACTACTTCTCTCTCAAGGATAACTGACAACCTCCTGAATTTAGCCTGATAACCCCTCCCTATTAGATAAATAAGCCATGAAGGGCAAGAGTCAAGAAAATAGGTGGGCTAACCAGATCTGGTAGCACTTCCTCTCTCAAGAAGGAATGTATAATGTCCGAGACTCACAAAGTGTATTCTGCGCTTAAATAGTCTTGATTGACTCTCTTTGGCCTATTGTCAACATTTTTGCCCACTGTCTTGCTTTGTACTTGATTTATAAAGGTTAGAAACATCTTTGCAAGCCAAATGACTGACCTTTTGCCCCACTAGGTCCTGAAAGACCTGGAGGTCCCATGCATCCTGGGCTTCCAGGGTTTCCTGGTGGGCCATTTTCATAAGTTATTGTACCTGTTTAAGAGTAAGACAGACAAACATGTAGTCTCATATCTTGCCTACAAATATAATAATAGCCATTCTGGGTTCTTAGGACTTGAGGTCAAAGTTGGATTCATATAACATATTAACAATATGGAAAAATAGACAGAAACCAGTTCCAAGCCATCTTGGAATTAAATCAACTGGTTCTGTTTGCAAAGTATTTCATTTCCTCTGGTTTTCCTGTTTTACTTCATGAGGGTTGATGTGATAGCTATTGCTTCTCTAAGGGTTGTTGGGAAGCACTGGTTTTCGAATAAAGCATTCTGGCCCTGTACACTTACACAATGAGAGAAACATATTGGCAGACTTAAAGCTACAAGGCTGGATCTGTAACCATGAATCTACAAGGTTGAATCGACAACCACACAGATTCATAGTATGGCTCACCTGGCTGTCCTGAAAGTCCTGGTGATCCTGCTGGGCCAGGTCGCCCTGGCAATCCAGGAAGTCCTGGTGGTCCAATAGCATCTGTCCCAGGTTGTCCTCTATCTCCTTTTCTTCCCTTGATGCCAGAAAAGCCTGGCAGACCTTTGGGACCAGGCTGTGAAACACCTAATGCACATTTTTATAAGTCAAATTATTGCAAAGTTTATATGTGATATGTATCAGTTTTTAGCTATAGTATTGGGGAAAATTCACTTTCAACCAAAGAACAATTGTTACAGATTATCTCATAATAGTAGGAAGTATTATTAATAATAATATATAAGCAACACAACCAACAAGATCAATGGCCTCATTATTTTTCTGTAACAATACATACCTGACCTACCAATGGCACCAGTGGGACCTTGGGGACCTGAAAACACAATAAGTTAGTTAAAACCTATATTATGCTTTTTTTTGTTTTGAGCTTTAATTATTTCAGTGTCCCCTTTCCTAACAGAAATGTATAATTTTCTCAGATCTTACAGATTAACAGCCCAGTCCTCTACATACCTACCCAGATCTAAGTCCTCAGAGTTACAGAAGGAGCAATCCTATGCTCCCTAGACAACACCCGGGAGGCACAGGATAGTGCTCCATTCTTGGAACTGAGAATCAGAGTTCCAAGCCCACCTTTCCTTGGAGCTGACCCAGAAGAAGCCATCTTGTGTGCCACTCTAGAGTCAGTAAGGGGACCTTGTAGAAGGTTATAAGTACATTTCAATAGGCAGGGAGGGAACACATTGGAGGTGCCAGTATATAAGCTGTCTGAAGTCTCAGTAGCATTCTTCCCTCCTCTGGTCCTAGATGGGCAAAAAAGCCTGTTCAGAGAAGAAGTTCATCAATAGCTTGTCCCACCTTGAATAGGTTTAGTCTTGGAGTTGAGGGGTTTACAATCACTGTAATAGGATTACACCCTAAGAATTTCTACTGAAATCAACATGATTTTTAAAGGTCAGATGCTGTGGGGTTTGGTTTATTCTACTTATTTATTGTAAGCCACCTTGAGATGTTTGTAGGGGACCGGACAGAAAAGCTTTTAATAAATAAGTACATATATTTTGGGGAACCACCTCTCTTTACTTGAAGCTAAGCAGATTCTTGTGTTAATTTCCAGGTATTCTTAATTCAAAGTGGCTAATTTTGTGTGTTTAAAAAATTATTTATTAAAAGATCAATACCGTGCCTTTAAAAACAAAATTCTCTGCATGTAAGAAGATCCAGCCTACTCCTAATTGCATAAAAGACCATTCAGGATATTGTGTCTAACCCTGAACATCTGCAAGTGCAACAGGAGTTGCTGGTGAAAAAGTTTTAGCTTACTCACTGTGGCAGGCAAGGGGCTGCATAAGGGAAGACAGCAAGGGCAAGTCTCCTTACCTGAGCAGAAATCTGCTCATGTAACACTGGATTTCAGCCAAAATCAGCACCATGCCCCCTGACTCCAGTCTGAAGTGGTCTAGGATTCTTCCCACGTCATTTTAACCAAAGTGTAGGCTTGCTGATGCCTAACTACAAAGTGCCATCAGAAGAGAGGATGGGGACTTTCCTGCCATCCTTCTTCTCCACACCCCACTTGCTCCCCAGAACCACCTGCCATGGCACTGTAGATACCTCTTCTGTTTCACATAAACCCGTTGATAGTTTTCTCACCAGGTGCTCCACGTGGGCCTTTAGGTCCTGGGGGCCCTGGGTAGCCCCTATTGCCTTTTTCACCAGGTATTTCATCATAATACTCTGTCTTAAATAAAAGGAGGACAACAATGGCATCAGGAAGAAAACAATAAGAATGAAGAAAAAGGCTTTGCGTCCAGTAGCAACAGCATGATACTCATACCTTGTAACCAACTAATATTAAAATTGGGTTTCCTTTTATGGATTGCTTAGCAGGTGAAGAATCAAGCCAAAATCATTCAGTATAACTCACTTACACCTGCTTAGATTTGTTTATCCAACATTGATCAGCACTCTATTACTGGGCATGCTGGCTGATTTCATAACAGAAAACATTTAGGCATACTGTATTTTTCAGTCTATAAGATGCCCCCATGTATAGGACGCCCCCCCCCCCACTTTTCCTACTGATCTCCGAGCGAACAAGCTGCTGCTGTGCACGAGATTCTCCTATTGGATCTACCCCCATGTATAAGACACACCTCCATTTTTATGCAAATGTTTTAAAGAAAAAGTAGCATCTTATACACGGAAAAATATGGTAATTATTTTTCACTTACTGGACCTGGAATTCCTTGAGGACCCACTTCACCTTTCCTTCCCTGCATCAGAAAACAGAAAATGTTCATGCTGAAATAAATATATTTTAAAAGTCATTTTTCAAGTCTAATGACATTACAAAAGCTACTGACAATGCTGGATATAAATTTCATGCCTATATGGGACACATGTTAAAAGAACTGAAGAAGTATCCAGAAAGTTAATCCAGACTATTAAGTTTCAAAACATGCATCCAATGCAGAAGACCTCAGGGAGTGGGAGAGAAAGAGGCTTGGGTGCTGACAGGAAACGACATTTCCAGCCTCTCCTCCTCTCCACCTGCTGGCAAGCCCTTTTTCATCTTCTCTGAGGCCACTATGGGGCCAGATGGAGGCAGCCATGTGGTCCTTTTTGTGCTGGCTGTGAGGAAGTGGCATAGGGGCTCAGCCTTCAATGTCACAGCACTGAAATCACAAGGACTTAAAAGATGGGATGCCAAATAATCCTTTGACTCCACCAGGTGATGCTGGAAGCCCGTATGATTGCACACTAAGTCTTTTAAATTCCAAATTATTTGGTACTGCCTGACAAAGGAAACAAAACAGCATAGATAAACATTAAAACAGGGTTTTTACCTTTAGCCCAACTTCTCCTGGCAATCCTGGGATACCCATGTCTCCCTTTTCTCCCTGCAGGAAAATAATTGGTGTTAGAGTGAACTAAACACACACACATCCTAAAAGACAGCTCTTATTTCTTATTTATATTGCTCTCTTGAAACTAGAGCCCTATTGGGCTATTGAGGTACACTGATATGCTTCTGTTTCATGACTTTTGCGTCATTGAAACATGACTGTCAGTGTTTCAATGACTTTTTTTTCCAATAAGCATTTTTTCCCCAATAAGCTCAGCATCAAAACATTCAGTTTCTGTTTCTGTTTTCCCTTCTGTTTGTTCTTCAGAATTTCCTGAGAGTTCCAGTGAGGATTTTTTAACTGATGAATTGTATCTTTCCCCCAGTGAACTTCAACAGTATATTATATTTAAAAAATATTTATCATGTTGGAGTCCATTGTATCCCAATAAATTTTTTGTGTCCAATGCATTAGATTATGTTTTGGGAATGTGATACCAAGTAAATCTGTTCTTTATGTTAAACTGGACTCATTCTGAAATCAATCATTCCTTTATCTTCAGCTGGGACTTTAATGGGGGCTATTAGAAATCAACTGCTTGGCCAGAGCTCTTCCACCCTGAATTGAACCACAGACTCCATTTTTTTTTTTTTTTTGCTGATAGTCCACAATATTTCTAACCTTGAATGATCATAACTAACACTCCTATTTTTAAAAAATAATAATTTAAAGAACAAAACAGTTTAAAGATGCTCTTATTACCTGTAAGCCAGGTGGCCCAGGGATACCATCCTTTCCAAGTCTACCCTAATAATAACAACAACAACAACAACAACAACAACAACAATAATGGAGAATAACTATTTTAATATAAATATATTACCATCATTACTGTTAAAGAAAATAAGCAAATAATATTTATACAATTCTCCCAAAATACAATACATTATTGTAATAAAACATGGTTTTATAAAGACAATTATAAGGAACTGAAGATCCAACACTTTCAGTCTGCATTCCCAGAAATTAATATGAACATCTCCCCAGTGACAAGGAATAATGATAATAAAATGTATGTTCATGCTATATAAGTAACTTTGACTTTTCTAGGATCCATAGCACCAGACAATTTTCAAGATTTCAGCTGTTGGCCACACAAAATAAGGTTACACACCTGAGTTCCTGGCTCTCCTGATTCTCCTTTTGCACTTCGAAAATCGCCAGGTGGTCCCTAAAACAAAGGCCCACATCTTGTTTTAGATACAACACTGAATATACAAGTATCATTTTATAAGATTTGTACTTATAAAGATATAAAATAAAGTTGATATTAAATCTTAACCTAGGACTCTATCACATAGTGTAAGACTCACAATGTTTAAGATGATGTCTCCTCCTAGTCTGGATCAATTGAGTGCATCTGACTCAGCTCTTCATTTTCAGTTCACTCATGGACTGTCATTTTGTGTACTGCAAGCACCCAAAGAGTTGCACTACACTCACCATGGGATCTTTACAACTTAGTGCAAAGGTTGAATATAGGAGCATCCCTGATGCTTCCTGAATGCCAACTGAGGGGTAGGAATGCCAGTTTGCTGCACATGTAGCATGCCCACTGCAGAGGCATGGAAAAACTTTCCAAGGGCAGAGATCTTCCTGGTGGGGTTTGCTTTTGTGAAGCCCTGGATCTGGGTTCTGTAGAGTGGCCAGGGCTGGCCCTACCATTAAGCAAAGTGAAGCAGTTACCTTAGGCAGCAAATGCGGAAAGGCAGCAGCAGCAATGTGCTCAGAGCATTGCATAGCAAGCATGTGTAGCAGTCTCTTAACTTAAATAAATAAAATGAAGCCATGGAAAGCTGTGATTTTGGTCAGTGAGATGGGTTACAGTGAGTCTGGTTCCAGGACTAAGGTGTCTCTTGGCAAAGTCCCTTTTGAAGGGCCCCTTCCATTATCAATGGTTTTACCAGGCAGCAGTAAGAGGCCACTTAAGCTTCTCACAGTACCATGGGATGACACTGAGTCAGGGGCATTGTGGGAAATTAAAATGGTGCCAAAGTCGATGGGCCGTGACTGCAACTTGGGGCTCTGCCAGCGGCCCAAAGTGGTGGGTCTGGTGGGGGCTATGTAATTCTTTTCCCACAGATCACTCAGTATGCTTTTTCTGCTTGAAGCAAAAGTGCTTGCATATTGATTAAGCATAATAGTTACAGTGTGGACACATCATGCTAGTAACTCACCAATATATGTGAAGGTACTTAATAACTAGTTAGACTCTGAAAAATTGGTTTAATACCACTTACTGGATCTCCCTGGAGTCCAGGAGGTCCTGGAAAACCCATGTCTCCTTTATCACCTTTTAATTCCTGCCACAAACACATTAAAATTAAAATCACCATTTAATTGAACCAAGCACTTCGTAAATAGCATAATAGTTAAAAATAAAGAAACCTGAACCAAAATCAAGCAACAACACAAATCACATCTTGGCTAAAACAGACCCCATTAGTGTGACAGAGTTGCCTATTGGTACAGAGAGGGTCAAACACTGCAGTATGTCAATGTGTATTTGAGCCTATTTACTCAAACATAGTGAAAGGAAAGTCTGATGCGGTAAAGATCTATACTCCATAGGAACCTGGAATGTAAGATCCATGAATCAAGGCAAGCTGGATGTGGTCAAACAAGAGATGATAAGACTGAACATCGACATCTTAGGAATCAGTGAACTAAAATGGACAGGAATGGGTGAATTTAATTCAGATGGCCATCAGGTATACTACTGTGGGCAAGAATCCCTCAGAAGAAATGGAGTAGCCTTCATAGTCAATAAAAGAGTAGGAAAAGCAGTACTGGGATACAATCTCCAAAATGACAGAATGATCTCAGTTCGAATCCGAGGCAAACCATTCAACATCGCAATAGTCCAAGTCTATGCCCCAACCACTGGTGCTGAAGAGGCTGAAGTTGACCAGTTCTATGAAGCCCAACAACACCTCCTAGAATTAACTCAAAAAATGATGTCCTGATCATCATGAGGGATTGGAATGCTAAAGTAGGAAGCCAAAAGATAATGGGAATAACAGGCAAGTTTGGCCTTGGAGTACAAAATGAAGCAGGGCACAGGCTGGTAGAATTTTGTCAACAGAATACGATGGTCAGAGCAAACACTCTTTTCCAACAACCCAAGAGACGACTCCATACATGGACATCACCAGACGGTCAACAGAGAAATCAGATTGACTATGTGCTCTGCATTCAAAGATGGAGAAGCTCTATACAGTCAGTAAAAACTAGACCAGGAGCTGACTGTGGCTCAGATCATGAGCTTCTCGTTGCAAAATTTAGGCTTAAATTAAAGAAAGTAGGGAAAAGCACTAGGCCACTCAGGTATGACCTAAATCATATCCCTGATGAATATTCAATAGAAGTGACAAATAGATTTAAGGAACTAGAACTGATAGACAAAGTGCCTGAAGAACTATGGACAGAGGTTCGTAACATTGTACAAGAGACAGCAATTAAAACCATCCCAAAGAAAAAGAAATGCAAGAAAGCAAAATGGCTGTCTGAGGAAGCTTTACAAAAAGCCGAGGAAAGAAGGGAAGCGAAAGGCAAGGGAGAAAGAGAAAGATATACCCAACTGAATGCAGAATTCCAGAGAATAGCTAGAAGAGATAAGACTGCCTTCTTAAATGAACAGTGCAAAGAAATAGAAGAAAACAATAGAATAGGGAGGACCAGAGATCTCTTCAAGAAAATTGGAGATATGAAGGGAAAATTTCATGCGCATGATAAAGGATTTCTTCATTGTGGATCACAACAAATTGTGGCAAGTTCTTAAAGAGATGGGAATCCCAGACCATCTTATTTGTCTCTTGAGGAACCTATATGCGGGTCAAGAAGCAACAGTGAGAACTGGACACGGAACCACTGATTGGTTCAAAATTGAGAAAGGAGTTCGGCAAGGGTGTATATTGTCACCCTGCCTATTTAACTTATATGTAGAGCACATCATGAGAAAGGTGGGGCTAGATGAATCACAAGTTGGAATTAAGATTGCTCGGAGAAATATCAAGAGCCTCAGATATGCAGATGATACCACTCTCATGGCAGAAAGTGAAGAGGAAGTAAAGAGCCTCTTGACGCGGGTGAAGGAGGAGAGTGCAAAAGTTAGCTTGAAACTCAACATTAAGAAAACTAAGATCATGGCATCCGGTCCTCTCACTTCCTGGCATATAGATGGGGAAGAAATGGAGGTAGTGACAGATTTTATTTTCCTGGGCTCCAAGATCACCGCAGATGGGGACTGCAGCCAAGAAATTAAAAGACGCTTGCTCCTGGGGGGGAAGCTATGGCAAATCTAGACAGCATACTAAAAAGCAGGGACATCACCCTGCCAACAAAATGCGTATAGTCAAGGCTATGGTTTTCCCAGTTGCAATGTATGGCTGTGAAAGCTGGACCATAAGGAAGGCTGACTGCAAAAGGATTGAGGCCTTTGAATTGTGGTGCTGGAGGAGACTCCTGCGAGTCCCCTGGACCGCAAGGCGATCAAACCGGTCAGTCCTAGAGGAGATCAACCCTGACTGCTCTTTAGAAGGCCAGATACTGAAGATGAAACTCAAATACTTTGGCCACCTAATGAGAAGGAAGGACTGCCTGGAGAAGAGTCTAATGCTGGGAACAATAGATGGCAAAAGAAGAAGGGGACAGCAGAGAATGAGGTGGCTAGATGGAGTCACTGAAGCAGTTGGTGTGAGCTTGGGTGGACTCCAGGGGATAGTGGAAGACAGGAAGGCCTGAAGGAATGTTGTCCATGGGGTCGCGATGGGTCGGACATGACTTCACGGCTAACAACACTCAGACATAAGTATACAGCCCCAGATTTGGATCAGGAGTCGCTAGGAAGGAAGGATTAAATCTCTCCTCTTCACCCCACTCTGCACACACCACTTCCTTTCCAAAATTATAGTGCTGTAATTGTCAAAGGGAAAAAAGCTTCCACTGCTTCCAGAGGAAACTTTATCTGATTTCAATCCCTGAAGTGAGGGCTGGGGTGTTGTTGAACTGTGGGAAGGAAATGTGGGGAGGTTTACTTCAGTGGAGTGCCACGGAGTACAGCATGCTTGGGACAGTGATCAGGAGCACTTCGCCCTGCCATAGTTTGCTAGAGATCCCACTCATGCTGTTCATGTGCAAGGCTGCATGATGCGCAGTAGAAATACCAGTGCTGGGCTCCATCTGCTCTGCACCTTCTGTACTAATGTGTGGACTGCGTCTTAGTGACTTTTGTTCTTCAGGGATGAACAGAAAAAAAAAATCAAATACATTTAGAGCTTAATTTTTTGAGAGGAAATACACTGAAACATATGCATAATGAGAATTTTAGTGCAGATTAAGTCAGAACACACTCAAGTGAAGTAGGATGAATGGACTCATGCTAAAATTGGCTGACTGAACTAAGTTTACACAGAACACAGTGAAACTACCAGGTGAACGCAACATAATGTTTACTGTAGAAGTCATTAATAGTATTATACTGTTACCGTGATATTATCTGCTCGGGTCAGTGTTACAATAACTGTTCCTGTTGCTCCTGGGGGCCCTTGTAGTCCAACATCACCCTGTAATTAAAGAGAAGAATCACAGGAATTACTTTCATGTACGATTAAGGAATAAAGGACATATATGCCAAGATTTGAGCAGGAGATCCACAACCGAAGGAGAAGTAATGTGTATATAAGTATGCTGTTGTGGTCAAATGTGGTTCCATACTATTTAAGAATGTGGAAAGGCATAATAAATGTAATGATAAATTAAATTGTAAAAATCCCTGCAGTTTGCTCTTTCGGTAAAACAACAAAAACAACAACACCCTGGCAATTATTTTTACTGAAATAGCAAAATGCACGCATTTGTTCAGTTTATTGTAAACAGTGTCAGAATCTGTTTGTTAAACCACTAAAATGTTTGATAAACCATTCTGAAATGTCATAATAAAATGACAAATATGGTAACAATAAATTATTTTTCAAGACAAATCAAATTCATTTAGGGTGCAGTCTTATAGTGATGTCTGCAAATGGTTGCACAACTAGGGTTATGCAAAGGCAACTTTAGCTGGATTCTTCTGTTGTGCGTAGTTCAGAACCTAGTTTCCTCTAGCACCATGTCACTTGCCCTAATGAAAAGACACAGCTGCCTTAAGAGATCAGTTTCACAACATTTGAGCATAAGGATGATAATTGCACATTAAATAGGTTCCAGACTTAAAATTCTGCAGAAAAAGACAAATAACTGCAGGAAGTTTGCTTGTCCACCATATGGGCAGGACCGTAGCAGGTAGGAAAAGACAGTATCAGTTATTTGAGAAAATAAAAATACAAATCAGCTATTGTTACTTTTGTTCCTTTGGCTCCAATGACTTTGACACCCATGAGACCCTAAAAAATACAAGAACAAAAAGGCATTAAAACAAGTTTTTTAAAAAGCCCAAATCAGTGATGGAAGTGGTAAGAAATGGTGCTAGAGGTAATTCAACAAATCACAACTCTGAAATACCTTGGGACCTGGAAGTCCTTGTCTTCCTTGTGCTCCCTAAAAAGAAAAGTACAGATAATAGAAACATTAAATCTTTTTCCTGAAATGTGTTGTGCAAGAAATATCTCCCCCTGAATTCTGTTTGCAGGAACAAATAGGAAGGGAAGTGCAAATACTTACCTATAATTCATATGAGTATAAAAAGTCAGGAAAGATAATTTTATTATTTATATTTATATTGTACACAAGCATGCTTCCAACAATTTAGTCACTCATAATAAAGGTTCTATTTTTAAAAACATAATTTATGTTATCTATGCAATATATCACTGTCTCAGATTTTGCCTTAAAATGAGCTAGACAGCATACTTAGTCCACATTCAGTGGTTTCTGCTCTAACTAGATCTACGTTCATCTATCTAACTGGTTCAGCAATGCTGATAAAGCCAGCTGTGCTTGCCATACTAGAGCTGGTAATAACGCATTGCAGCTTACAGAAAGTAAACAGTGAAATATGAAAATGCTTTACCGCTTAAGATGGGCTTTTGTCCAAAGCCCCACTGAAGTCTAGGCAAAAAAGCTACAGTAGAGGCTTCCCTGCACCATCTTCTTTTCCCCTCCCAAAGGGACAATACCTGGACAGGTCTCAGAGCTGGTTTAACTTCTCTGTCCTAGGGCTTCATTTGAAAGGGTTAAGGATCCATTGGATTCCTCTGTGCTTCTTCCTTGTCTGCCTCCACAACCTCAACATACTAATTTTCCTCAGACTATGACCTCAAAAGGGGTTTTCTGAACTATTCTATGAATCCTTGGATGCTGTCTAAGGACTACAGGAGTGCTGTTTAACATAACAAAGGCAAAATTCCCACCAGATTTTAATGGCATTGCACCTGTAATGTAATAGATGTTCTTTGAATTATTCTAATTTATCATCAACAAAGATTTTTTTAACTTACTGGAAAACCTGGAGGGCCTTGGGGCCCAATCATTCCTGGTAATCCTTGAGGTCCTGGTGCACCCTTTACATCAAAACAAGAAATAGAAGTAATTCTTCCACCTTTAATTCTTCAAAAACCCATTCTTCTTTTTAGAAATATAGCATAAATCACTTGCTACTGTACTTGAGTTGTTTATTTGCTTGTAGTATATTTTGATGTTTGTGAATACAAATATCAAAGTATTGATCTCACTCAGCAATAGGAGTATTCTATTCATTGTAAATCTGTATTCTACTCATTATGAACATGTGGCATATAAAATGTATCCATTGGGTTGGAACTGAAGGTTCCCCTTCTGCTAGCAGGAAGATTCTTCTTTAGTTGGAAAAATTTCATGAATGAAAGCACCTTGCATGAGAGAACCTTTGAATCCAGCCTGTTGCATTCAACAAGGCTCACTCATTCATGCTGGCTGGGAATTGTGGGAACTGCAGTCCTATTCATTGGGAATGCTATCTGACAGTCTGCTATATTTTTGTCTACAAAATCATGCTTATGCTTGATTTTGCTAATACAGTATGTGTGATGCACAAGTGCTAGCAAAATGGAAAGAAATGAGACAACTCTGCTATAGTCATTCATGTTTGCAAAACAGCAGCGTTCACATAGATGTCTTTACCCACATCATTTGACAAACACACTAGTGGCCAGCTAAACATATTGACCCAAAAAAGACCCAGCAGCTCCTTTGTATAAAAGAAGAGAAACAATATATAATGATCAAGCTACTCAAGAGCTCCTAAGACTCATGGGAAATATCTTATATTGACCTGACTTAACAAAATATTCTGTGGTTTGCTATCCCATAAAACTGAACAAGTTTAGCCATGTCTAACATGCTATTCTTCATAACAATTATACTCAGGCTTACCTGAAATCCAGGCATTCCTGGTAATCCTGGATCACCTTGGGAGTTATAAACCTGGTCATATCCATTTGCAGAACGTCCCTGGGAGGGAGGGAGGGAGAACAGCATGTACAATTCAGACACGTTGAAGATATGACCAGACTGCCAAAGCTAAAATCTCCCAAATGCAACAAATAAAATACCCTTTGATTTCTAATGGTAACCTGTGGCTTTGAGAAAATATTTTCTGATAATCAGCCAGGAATGACAGGACTTCGACTTAAATTCATTTATTGTCTCTGTGGTTCCCCATACATGTATATTGCAGTTTAATAGGATGATTCATATTATTCACTCCAGAATGGGAACATAAATTCCTTCATATAATTTGCAAGCTCCCTCCCTTTTGGTTTACAGTTGTGCATGGATAAAACACTTAAAAAAGCAACCATAATGTGTTTATATGCATGAATGCATCAACATTTTTATTGCCTGATATTTCATGGATGAGCACATGAACTCTTGTGCACTGGTAAAGTACAGCACATAAAGAATCTTCATACAACTTTACACGGAACAGTTTTCTAGTCTGTTTTCCCTCCAAATATTTATGAATGCACACAAGTGCACATCCATATCAGTAAATATTGTACATAAAGGATCTGTATACTGTGATACACTGTGTCACTGTGCATATGCACATGGATAAAATGAGGGAAGAAAAAATGAATACATTAAAAGAAAACTGAATGTACAAAATATTCTATATAAAATTTGAATGTATAAAAATGCTGGAAAAATGAAGAGTTTCTACTACTTTGGTTCTGCTTCAGAAAAAAAGCAATTATTTCAGAACCAACATTATGAGAAGAAATGTGAATCCACCTTATCTGGGAAATGTCCCTATACCAAAAATGGGCAAAAGAATGGGTAAAAATAAATTTCCTACATTTCTTGGGTGACAGGTATACAGAAGATTGTTCAGGATCTACTGGTAGATCTTTGGCTATAGACACACCAGAGCATATTGCTCCAATGTTTAACTGCAGCAAAATTTGGGTCCAAATTAAACTCTTAGAGAGTACAATTTGTAGTAATTCAAATGCAGTTTTGTATGGGCATTTGTAGGATACCCCATTATATGGACTCTTCCCTAAGCCAGTTGGTGGACCTTGGGATTCTAGCAAAAAAAACCCAAAGCAGATGCTCTGAGCCTGAAGTTTGTCCTTCTTGGCCTTTATTCATGCAACTGTTTGTTTCTTTTGCAGTTCATTGACTTACTTTTTCTCCTTTGATGCCTTTAGGACCCTTGATAGAGAAAAATAAAAAAATAATACATATGAATAAAAAACTAATATCAGACATTTTGCAAGGCTGTTTCTAAAATGTGTGCCTTATATGATCAAGGAAATGTTCAGAATTATAAAGTACTTGCAAGTGCTGTTAAAGTCAATGTTTAATGGCAAAATATACAAGCATAAAAAGATAATGCTCAATCAACTCAGTTTTACTATCAGAATGTGCACAGCAATTCTATGCACTTAGTTAGATTGGACTTAAGCCCAGGTAAGGGCAGCCTAAGGTTGCCATCCATAACCTTGTGAATTCAGAGGATTACTGTTACCCAATAAGGGCTGGAGAAATATGGAGGCTGAGGCTGCCTCTGTGCTTCCCTCCCCTTCAAAACATTTAAGCAGCTGATTTCAGCATTCTAAATGGTTTTTCCTTCCTCCTGAGGAGGAGAGGCTGAGGCATTGCCAGGATGAGGCATTATCTTCAGAGGATGGCAATGCCTCCCCTCCCCTCCCCCAGAATGCTCCCACTCACTGTCCCCCCTCCAAGGCGGTCTTTGGTCTGCAAAGCCCATCCATCACAGAAAGAACCACACTGGCTGCAAGGAAAAGTTCTTTGAGGTGTGGATCCCACCTCCATCCTTGGTGTATGATTCTGAAGTTGGAGGTGTGACCTATCTTTGACTCCCCAGACAATGTAGGAAAGCAATAGGATTGCACTGTAAGTGATCCAGAAGAATACTTTTCTGATTTTTGAACTACCTGTTTGCAGAGTATTTTCTTTTGTCACTTGAATACATAATAAAATGACAACAATATTGAAATCAAAAGAACCTGCAAATAGGGCTTTTTACAAGTGAAGAATTGGTGTACATACAAAGTTAAGAAAGAAAAAAAGATAGCTACTAACAGTATAGTAGCAGAACTTGGTATGTTATCTAGCAAGGTATTTCCAGATTACTGACTGATGACTGTCAACAAATAGCAGAACTTCTGTCAGTTTGTACCATAAATCATAATGGTGTGGTCTGACCTTGCCTTACCTTGGACATAGGTACTTGCTGAATTTGTCTCTTATTAGAGTATGAAAATCTGAAACAACTACTTATCTCTCCTCATTTTTACTTAGAAGTACTGTAGTTATGAATTAATTTTCATGAAATACTTTAGAGTTCTGAGATAAAACATTCTACACAAGGCATTTTATACTTCAACTTGAACTTACCGGTAATCCTGGAGGTCCTTCTTGCCCTGGGAAGCCTGGAAATCCCCTCTCACCCTGGAAATTAGAGGAAAGGTGAAACAGAAGCTGGCATAGAGAAAATGCTTTGTTATGGACCTCTAGAAAAGATACACCCTGTTACTCACACATCTGCCCTGGAAGTCCTTCAGTTTCTAGGGAACATCACAATGCTTTACCAACTGTGTACCTTACCAGGTTCTGCTTTATTCTTACCTTTGTCCCATTGCATCCTGGTATACCTGGAGGACCTGGAGGACCAGCATTTCCTGGTTTACCCTAAAAACAATTACATTGTTGCCAAGTTAACTCTTACATCAAATTTAGAATTATTAATAAAAGACATTTGACTGAAAGGCAGTTGATTTAGCAAAATCAAATCCCATTGTACCTAGGGACATTGAAGAAATCCATAATGGGTTCCAATGAGAACAGATTTCAATTAATTATTTCTATTAATTGAACATGAAGAAAACAGACCAGGTTTTTTTAAAGACATACAGACTCTATGGACTTGCAGACAATCTTTCTGATGGGGCAGGCAGTGTATTATGCTAAACACTGATATCAATAAAGCTTTAAAGTTTATCAAGATAATAAGGAACAATACCGTAGCCCCTAGACAGCATCTGAGGGGCCATAGGATACTTTGGATTCTCAAATTTCAGCCTGGAGATAGCACTCTGACGAGCTTGAAGTCAGGAAAATAATTTAGGGGAGGGCTAAAGGGAGGGTATTCCTTTGAATGGACAGGGGAGGAGGCTTGAGAATCTAGAATGCAAGTTATACTGAGGCTTCCCTACCCTCCTTCCTTCTACTCCAAAATGCTGTCACTACACAGACAAAAAGCTCATCTAGTAAAAATGCAAGTTGGAGGACAAGGAAACTAGGATCATGTTTGTCACTTCTCCTGACCTGAAATGGACTGAGCATAAGCCTCTGAGCTTGGGGGCTTAATGTCCTTTAAAGGGGCTGAACTGTAAGTTGATGTGAAAAATGAATAAATTGGAAGTGATTGGTAATATTTCATTTCACTTACTGGGAGACCTGGGAAGCCTGAATAACCAGGGACTCCTGGTGCACCCTAATGAGAAGAAACAGAAAGAAAGCCATGAGTATATTTTTAGAAAATAAAACAGAACTCCTATCTACAGAAATGGAATTAGAATTATTCGAGGGCCCCAAAACCTATTTTGCTAATTTAGTATGAGTGCAATGATAGAAGAAAGTCTTAACTCAGCTGGCAGAATATAGCAAGCATGGCTGCAGTAGCAATTGTTAGGTAAGAATAAAACTCATTCAAAGCAATTGTGCAAGTGATGGTCATTATGCTTGCATAAGTCACTGTACATCTGCTTGCGTTTTTCACTTGTACAAGCCCTTCAGTGGAGCTCCACTGGCATTATTTGAATTTGCAGCCTAATGCTGTTGGATACCATGCCATTCTCACTACTTTTAGATAACTGTTACAGTTTTTAACACTGTAGGTAGTAATGTATTACAGAAGAAAATACCAACCCTTGAACCTTTAGGCCCAGCAAATCCTACTGGCCCTGGAAAACCCTAGAAAGGAAAAGGAAAGTACTATTAATTATACTGAAAATTTATCTTTCTGTAGAAGATCCAAAGACGTGATTTGTCTCTTCTTAGGTCCCATTCCTGTTGTACTCTACACAATAAAGTAACAGACAAAAATGAAGCCAACTCAAATGACTATTCCATAAACCTACAAGAACAGATACTCTCTTTTTTAAAAGTAGAAACTACTTAGCAAAATGATCCTACTGCCAACAGAAAAATGGTAATGGCAAAACTTTCAGAAAATATCTAAAAGCAGAGATCTGTTACTCTTGTGAGTTGAAACAGGGAACCAGGTTTGAATGAAATCACTTTAATCTTAGAATATGTGCTCCCTAGCTATCCATTCATAGATCTCTTTGGAGATGTTCAGGGCATAATTAATTGTAAGAATATCAAAATGGTGATTCACCTCTTAGCACAGGCCAGAAAGGCAGTGAGTTTTAGTTTGAAGATGCTTGACCCACCTTCATTTAATGACTGGTGTCTTAGAGTCTGGAACAAGGCCTGCCATGATTATTTTGACTTACATGGTAATAGGTAGAGATTAATAGAGGATAAGTTTTTGAGAAAGTTGAGTCTTAGTATTTATTCTAATAACAAAGCCCAAGGAGTCATTTAAACCTTTTCCTTAACTTGGGAGAATTTATTTTCAGTCTTGATAGAAAAACTGATTTTGTTTAGAACTGATTTTAGAATGATTTTGTTTGTTTACATGCTTCAAGCTCCTTTAAATATGTGAATATTTTTTCAATGTTTGTGAGCACTATTTCGCAGTATTATGTATTTGGAGAGCTGCATGACGTCTTATGGTGACCATATGAATGAATGCCCTCCACAGCATCTTGTCACTCACAGCTCAACTTTTGCTAACTCATGGCTGTGACTTCCTTTATGGAATTGAGCCATCCCATATTTGGCTTTCTTCATCACCTGTCTTCTGCTTCCCCTAGCATTGCTTCCTCCAGTGAGTCGTGTATGCCCAAAGTACGACAGCCTCAGTTTCATCATTTTTTGCCCCCAGGCAAAGCTGTCCTTTGCTCTTTCCCAGTAGCTAGTCAAGTGTCTCCTGAACTGGGAGTCTCATCTTCTGGCACTCGCTCTTGTGTTTCATTTAAAGCTGTTTCATCATAGTGTGTTTAAGATAAGAAATGTCTGGATGTGATTTGCCATTCCCACCTTCTGCACAGGACTAACCACAATTAACCTGAACATCACTAAAAGATCCTCAGCCAGTGTTGCCTTCAACCACCCCTGCTGCCCTGTAGCTGCCCTTCAGGAGTTTCTCCACCCCTATCACCATTAAAGATATCCATTCTCTTCTGTTGATGTGCCTTATTCTGAAAGAGGGCGTAGGCATCTTACTCTGGTGTCTCAGCTTTGCCCATTCTGCCTTGGGTGACCGTGCTGGCAGACCAGAATGGTGAGAGAATCTGACCTCCTGGAGGCATTGCTCTTGGCTTCTCTGATATTCTCAATGCCTCTCACCACATTAAGGGATGCGTGCAAGAGGGAGACCTGGAATGTAGCACAATGGGTTATGTAAATAACATTATGATACTGATTATTAAAAAAGAAAAGGAAAGTCTTGGGACTGCAATATATGACAATCAACATCTAAAGCCTTCCTCCAAGTACAAACTCCAAGTGAGGCTCAGAGAGCAGCAACAAGGTGGAAAGCCCTCCCAGTGGTGGCCCCTCAAGTATGGCATGATCTCCTCATCAAGGTCTCTTCTGTACTAAATACACCTTAGCAGTTAACAATTTAAAAACTTTAAAAATTGTTTTCAAACATTTTGTATTATTGAAAAACATTATATTTTTCTGTATTTTCATTCTGTTTGGGAACTGTAGTAGACCATCCAGAGAGCTTGGACTATTGGGCATAAATTCAGCAAGAAAGAAATGCTCTGTTAATAGAACAGAATGTTCAGAAACACAGAATGTGTTTTAAAAATGCTTGGTCCTGTTCAAGTGTTCCCTAAGTGTGTAGTTTATAAAGGGTAGGGCAGCCCTGCCACACTCTAGTCACTTTTATCCTCCCCTGTGCATGGAGGAGGGCCTCTTGTCTTCACATGGAAGAGAAGCAAAGGTGGAAGAAACGGAGGAGGGCCCTGTCTTTAATTACATGGTGTGCCTCGAAGGACACAGGCAGTCCTCTTCGCTACAAAGTTGCTTCCACATGTATGGCATGATGAGTGTAAAGCTGGGGTGGGACAGGGCTGGAATACCCCCCCCCCCTTACATGTTAAACAACAATGTGTTTAGGGAATGGCTGAACAGAGCTACATTCTTTTCAATATGCATCCTGATGTTTTAACAGTTCATATGGTCAGCAAACAGTCCTATCCCTCAAAACTGAGGTTTTAAAATGGGTTCTTTTATTAACTGAACACTTGTTCAGTCATTTACAAGGACAGGATGCACAGAAATATTAATGCAGGAAAGTTTCCCAACTGTGTGCAGAGCCTAGCCTAGACTCATACTTTTTGTACATGCGTGGGGATTCCGCAGCCTAGTGAATGCCCATAATTTGGGGAGCAAGATACTGGGGAGATGTGATGTCACACTGTCCCCCACATGTCTACTGAACGTAGCCCAGTCATTAGAAAAGGACTCCTGAAGATTTCATAGTGAGATACCTTGTATACAAGGGTGCAGGGCAGCCAAAACTGATCATTTTAAAGCTTGATTAATTTAAATAGGAGAGCTCCTTGGTTCTTCAAACCCCACATGTTCAAATCACTGGGTCTTCCAACCACTCAACTTTTCTTGCATTGTGCCCAAATTTAGCAGCTTAACTTATCATTAGTTTTGGACACTGGACTTAATGGTGTCATAGGGATCCCCCAGTAGATGACCATGTGTGTTATTTCAGTTGTGATATATGCAATTAGCATTTATCTTTCCTCCTCCCTCTGCCCAACCACCACTCCATGTTTGCAACTCTTTCTACATTCCTTATGCGTTTGAAAGTTTGCCAACTCTGACGTTTTAAAAAATACTCTGAGTATGTGTTGTTCAGCATTTTGTCACTCAAGTTGTAGCCTAACTACAGGAAGAAAATGGAGTTTGCTTTTGCTGCACTGATGGCCTTCCCACTTATCACTCTCTGGAAGGTCAACTTGGGGACCCTCAGCTGTGGGACCTTGGATCTTGGCCTCAAGGTCCAGCCCAGGCAGCACCACTGCCCTCACCTCACCAATGGAGCTTCTCTGCACAAGCAGAAGTCAGCTTCTGCTACATCAACAATGTGGAAGGAGTTTAGATTGCACTGTAAGCTATCAGATCAGACTTGTCTGTAGTTTTTTCTCCATAATTATATTGCTTCATGCACTCAGTGATTCATATGCATACACATCAGATTACACCATACCTTAGGCCCTTGAGGTCCAGGAGGGCCCTCTGGGCCAGGGAAGCCCATCTGACCAGGTGGACCGGGGTAACCAGGAAAGCCCATTTCACCCTGTAAAAAAATATGCATAAATATGCATATCATGTGAAATCTTTCTCCTGATGATTCACTGTAGATTTCAGGGTAAAACTCCAGAAATGTTTATTTTTAATTCATTAGTCACACCCACCCTTGCCTATACTTTTCAGTTAATTCATGAACATTAATGGCACATCTGAGCAGCAGCTTCCCCTCTTTTGATGTGATACCTGGAAGCTATGCTGGAAGGATAGAAAGGTGGTATTACAGGTAGCTTAGTGTCAAGGACCAGATACTCAGAAAAGGGGAATCCAGGGTTAATGGTTCAAGAAGATTTGACAATGGGAAGGTGTTATGAAGCTTTCATCTCCTTGCATTCCATTTCTCCAGGAAAGCCCCATGGGCCAGCTCTCCTGCATCTGGAAGAGGCTGCACTAACATTCCCAGGCTCTCGGGAATCATCGCCCAAGGAAACCAGCATGCTACAGCCACTCCCACATCACAGCAACCTGAGATGGCTGAGCAGGACCTGCTCACTGCTCAGTCAGCATGGGCAGGACTAGCCTTCCAATACAGCAATGATTAAACATAAACATGGGCTTTGCTCTGATCCTTGTTGGGTACAAAAAGAGAGTTCTTCTTGTGGTCTGACTAAGTTTTGCATGGTATCTTTGGGGACTTAAGAGTTGGGTTTATCTGGTCCCTGCTCATGTGGCTGCAATGAAGCCCAGGAATAATTGGGACAGGATGAAATTGATTGTAGATTTCTTTTTGTCACTGTCAGGGATTAAATGCCGGGTTTGTCATGAATGAAACTGAATTAGCAGAAATGGTGGAGGAACTGTCTTGTTGGGAGGGATTGGGAGGGGAGTTTTTTTCTTTCAGTCCAGATTTCAGTGATTTTATGATTTTTGACCAATGTGCTTGAATTCAGAAAGCTGCTATGATCTAGGTCTTGAGTGGCCACTTGGTTTTATGTAGCAATTTGTTTGTGCTGGGGTGATCTGACTGTGTTCTCTATGGCATTTTGGGGGTCTGTCACAACAGACTGCTCGGGTTTTGTTTTGTTTTTGGCTATGTAGTTCTGAATGGGGCTTTCTTTTTAATAAGCTCCAAAACTTGGTTGTTATAATCTTTTCTTGGGGTCAGTTCATCCAATTAAGGATCTTACACATTCACTCCTCGGAGTGCTATGGAGATTTGTTAGAACTGCAGACATCTATGCCCATTTACAAAAATTACAAGGTTTGGTACCCTCCCCATCTTTACCAGCAGGTAGTGGTCATGGGGCATTTTGGGCCTTGATATGCCATTAATTCCCAAGAAAAGATGATCCTTGTTGGAGCTACATGCAAACAGCCCCACCTAGCCTGCAGTCCCAGTTTTCTCTAGTGCTCTTGCTACCTGAGAAACATGGCCCTGCTCAAGATCAGATCTACAGCAGAACCCTACAAACTGGCCACATCACAGAGAACCATCATAAGTCCTGCCTGAAGCACATGTGCAAAAACACTACTTTTGATGTCTAGCTGAAGGGTCAAGCAAGAGGATCAGGTGCAGTTGTCAGTGTGTGGATTAAAGGTGAAAGACAGATATAAGCTGGATGTTCATATATACCCATTCAGCTGGAGATGGCATTATTTAAGAGGAGTACAGTTTTCAGAAGCTACAAGCAGATTGAAAAGCACCAGGTTTAGCTGACAGCACAAAGGGTTCCGCCAGCATTGCTGTCATATCCTAACAAAGCTGCAATATTTTTGGACTTTACTAATGTCACGATGAAACTCGAATTCTGTTCAAAATAAGTCTTCAGCGGGCAGATGCTATAAAACTGCCAGCTGTTGTGCTCATGGTATGAAATAACAGCTGTTTTTTTGGCAGCAGCTGAAAGAAATAATTAAACTTCTGATGCACAGTACCAAATTTACAAACAGAGAATGGGAGTTTGTCTCAAATGCTATCGTGCTACACCAGTGCTGATGAAAATAAATTGGTGGATTAGGTGCTGTGTTGAAAGCTGAAGACAGCTATGAAGCAAACACTCTTCCATTTCACTGGGTACCCAGATCAACCCAACACACATTTGTTCTTCATGATTTGTCCTGCTCTATATTGAATGACTTAATTACCACCTATATTCTAAATTCTTCTAATGAGGCCACTTTAAACTAGAGGTGGATAGATCAGTCTATTTCAGCTTTATGTATACTCATAAGTCCTGTTTCCACATTGATCTGCAAGCTTTTTTTTAATGCATGTATATGTGCAATTAAATACATAAATTCTTGCAAAATACATTGTCTACTAGCACTTTTATTTCAAACTGTGCATATGTAAATGTATTCTGGTGCAATTTTTTGAGCAGAACACTACATTGCAAAATTTGAAGAAGTGCAAAATCTAAAGAATAGCTATGTTCTGATCTAGATTTTGGCCCATGAATCAGGTCTGCTTATATTCAGATTTTCAGAGACTGACTTCTTCAAGCATGCCCAGTTTATGAGATCCCTACAGATTCAAAAACAGCTGCCTTAATAATGGAAACGGTATATATTTCTGAAGTACCACCTCAGAGAATATACTTTCTCATATGTGAATGTGGAGGTCATTCATCTCCACTGTTGGTCCTCAATTTCCACAAAAGATACACAAGGTTTTTAAAATAAAAATAACATCAAATCACTAGAATGTTAATTTAAGTAATCTTGGTTCTTTCTGCTACAACTTGGCTCTTTAAGATGTTTGGCTAAAAGTTTTAATAGTCCTTTGGTTTTCATTTATTTTTAGCCCTCCTTGTTAACTGCTGCATTTACAAATTGTCCTTATTGTTACATTTATTGGTTTGAATGCTTAGTATCATTTAAATATTGTTGAAATAGGTGGGCCATAAGCTTTCCCAAAAAACCAACCGACTATGACAGAGGAAACCGGAAAGACAAAGGCCCCATGCTTGCTGCCTGCAGCTGTGCCAACTCCTCCATGGTGATTACAGTGTGGATTTGAGGCCAGGCACCATCCTTTCTTTGGCCCTTGAAACTGCAGACACACATAATGCCAGGAGTGCAATGGTGAGCATTCTTCCCTTGTTCTGGTATGGGGTCTAACCTCTACAGAGTAAATCACTAGAGATGACAGACCGCGTGCAGTCAGGTGTTCTGTGCTGTGATGAGGGAATATGCTAAGCCACGATTGCATCATCCGTTCACTGGTTGCTGCTGTGGCACACGAACATCACTCTCTGAAAAGTCCCTGACTGGTGGACTGTGCAGTGTTTCCAGGACTGCAGCATATGTTGTTTTCCCCCTGTTTTAGGGGGTTTTTTCCCTTGTGTCTTGTGTCTGTTCTTCTCATGTATAGATGGCTGAACATACAAAGGATGCAGTGCCATTCTACCAGGCTAACCATGGAATATCACATCCCCTGATGTTATGAGGATATAGGATTGCTCTGCTATTTTGCTAACTCATAAATTGACATGCCTATCCGACTGTCATTGTTTCTCTTAAATTACTGTTCCAGCATCTGCCACTGGAGGGGGCACAATACCATCTCCTGTAAACAAAATGCTGCCTAGCTTCTTTCTGTAGAATCACAAGTGTTTTGTGATTCTTTGTTCTTTCTGGCTGTGTAAAAACATAAGGCCATTGTTTAACCCTGTTTCTAAATTTTGCATTAAAGACAATGCATGAGCCTGGAAGGGGTGCTTGGTGGAGCAATATTATTATTTATTATTATTATTATAACATTTCTATGTCGCCCCTTGCCGAAGCCTCGGGGTGGCTTACAACACAATAAAATACATTGAAATACAATAGAACATAATAAATTACCATTAAATACAAAAATACAAAAAATACACTGAGTTACAAACATAATAATATAAAATTAAAATTATCAGTATAAAATAAGTAAATAAATAATATAGGAGGAGAAAAGAGAAGGAAGAAGAAGTTGCCCTGGCCAGATCATATGTTTTAACAATTGAAATGATGTTTAAATAAAAAGGTCTTTACCTGGCGCCAAAAAGCCAGTAATGACGGTGCCAGGCGGACCTCTTTGGGGAGTGAATTCCATAGGTTGGGCGCCACCGCAGAGAAAGCCCTCCTCCGAGTACTTACTCTCCTAATTTCTTTCATGGAGGGTTCCCGGAGAAGGGACTCTCCCACAGATCTCAAAGGGCGGTCGGGCATATACGGACGTAAGCGCTCGTTCAGGTAGCCAGGACCCAAGCTGTTTAGGGCTTTATAGGTCATAATCAACACCTTGAATTGGGCCCAGGCTTCAATGGGAAACCAGTGAAGCTGGCGGAGGACTGGAGTCATGTGAGCATAACGCCTTGTCCCCGTCAGCAACCTGGCAGCTCTATTTTGCACCAATTGAAGTGTTCGGACCGTCTTCAGGGGAAGCCCCACGTAAAGCGCGTTACAGAAGTCTAGGCGGGAAGTCACCAGCGCGTGTGTCACCGTCGCCAGGCAGTCGTACTCCAGGTAGGGCCGCAGCTGATTAATCAGCCGAAGCTGAAGGAAGGCGCTCCTCGCCACCGCTGTCACCTGAGCTTCCAAAGAAAGCTCCGGGTCGAGGAGTACTCCTAAGCTGCGGACCTTATCCCTAAGAGGGAGTGTTGCACCATTCAGACTATGAGTATCCAGACTATGAGTGTGTGTAGCTTTTTAGTTAGGAGATAGGAAAGGACAGAGTGGAGATAGAGGTGAAAGCTGACAACCAGTGCATGTAGGTTACTTACAAAGAACCTTTGTGGAATATTGATTTGGGATCAAAGTATACATTGAGTTAATTGGAAAAAATGAAAGCTTTTATCTCCACACAGGTGGGGGAACCTGGGAAAGGTTTGATCCTCCTCTCCCAGTATGTACTGGTCCCGATCTAAATCTGGGCAGTGTGTATTTACATTCAAGTAAAAAGAAAAAAGAATAAGGCTCAGCTACATGAGCTATTTCTGGTCTAGGCTTTATTTTTCTCACTCCCTTTTTCATTTGCAGCTATTAAGTTAGATGAGTTTATTTGCATCATTTTAGATAAAGTTAAGTGGACTGATATTTTTATCATAGACTTTTTGATGCTAAAATAACTTCATTGTTCTTAATAGGTTTTTGAATGGTTATATTATTGCTGTTAATCTAATACACTGTGATCTGAGGCACAATCTTGTGAAAATGTGCCATCCAAATAAATGGATAAGAAAATACTGTGCACTGATGATGCACAGATGACATGGGACTCTGAAAAGAAAATTTCATGTTTTTTTATTATCCACAGGAACACATATTACACACACACCAGCAAGGCTACCATGGGTTGTATAGACATAGTTTCAGGTACTGGACTTTCTTCTGTCCTGATCTATTGCAAGTCTTGAGCTAAACAAACCTACTTATCCCAACCCACAAGCTGAAGCTAAGATAGAACAGGTAGATAATTGAAAGTGAGCTAATTTCCTTCCCATATTGCAGAACTGAATGCATAAATTAGAGGTTTTATGTGAAGTAGGTGAGGGTTACTATCAGTACCTGGTCCAAAGTGACCCAGTGAGCTTCACAACAGAACAGGGACTTGAAACGGGATCTTCCAAGTCCCAGTCCAATGCTCTAAGCACTGATTATTATAATACTAACTTAGCTTATAAGGTTATTACAACTAAATAATGCATATGATGTTTCTATACAAATCTTAGTATAGTTCTGTTATTTTTCCAATGTACATTTAGCCTAATACAGTTTAAGAGACTGGGAATTTATCTTTGCAATAAACAGCGGGGGAAATATGTAGAGCCCCTTACCTTACTACCTTTAGTTTCATCACAGTAGCAGTGACTTTTGCTCTTGCAGATACAGTTCTGGAAAGAAGAAAGTGGGATATTTGACATAGCTCATTGTTGTACTCTTTTAAAAAAATAAAACAATCCCCATTAATGAAAAAGCTGGAGTTGTCTGTTTGAATACAACCCCTGCCTTTAATCCAGATGCTGGCATCTGAATTCCCAGCTGTGCGCCTTTACACACTCATTCACTTCCCAGTCTAGTCCAACTACTGATTCACATTCACATAAATTAGAACTTCCCTGTTTAGAAGTCTGCACTGAACTTCACTATACCAAATTTCCCTAACTGTGATTTTGTTTCCTTTCTGAATTGGACTCCAGCACTTTTCTCTGTATGTCCTGTGAAGCAAAGAGAAGTGGCTTCTGCTGCTGTGTTAAGCCATTGCCCTTTGTCCCATGTCAAAGGGCAGTATTCAATGCTGCTGCTTCCATAGCAGGAATGACTGTTAGTGCAACAGGAAGCTAGCAGTAGCTAGGACAATAGAAAACTAGAAAGCAAAGGGGCCAACAAGAGGAAGGAAGCTCCGCTCATCTGTGTCAGGGTCTAGAGCATGGGCAGTAGGAGTTCTGGTAGAGGCACCAGAACCTGGGTGACTGGACCTAAGGCAGAGCATGGTCCAAACACTGCCCAGAGTCTGGTAGTTAGGTCAGAAGCAGAGCTGTAGTCAAGAAGCAAGGCATAGACAGGAACTGGGAGCACACAGTAAAGCAAGATGAGGATGTGGTCATGGCCAAGTCAAAAGTTTAGAATGGGGAAGACAAGAAGTGCAGGAAGAATGGTTGTAATCAGGACAGGGAGCAGGTACCTGAGGCAGAGTAAGCCAGACAGGAGAAGCAGAAAGCATGGTGAAGCCAGGTGATGTGAGATAACAAGGTAGGATTCCGTTGTTATCTGCAAGCCTAGGCAAGGTGGGAACCAGATCAAACAAGAGTCATAAGAGATACTGGAACATGCTACTGCTAGCAAGAAGACCTGTGTTGCTAAGGCAACTGCTGGAAAAAAAGCTTATTCTTATGCAGTTCTTCCTCCAGGACTCCCAGCTGGTGCTGAAGTTTTATTTTGTCTCCCTCATTCTCTGGATTCAAATATGATAACTCACTCTCAAGGGTAGGCTAACTGGTTCCAATCACCTTGGACTATTAAGATGCAAATTTGTTAGGAAGGTGAGGTCAAAAGCTATGTAATTTCCTCCTGGTTAAACTGCTGACATCAGAGAAGGAGGCTATTATATTACTGGACAAAACAAATAACAGTCTATTCTAAAGCCTGGCTTTTACTGAACTAAGATCTCCATAAACTCACTTCTTCTAGAGGTTTCCATACAGTATCTAAATGGAGGCATGGATACTTTTTCAGAATTTACAGGGCTTGTGATATATGAATGAGTAGTATATAAGCACCAATTTCAAATCGATAATAAATAAATACATTTTGAAGCCTATGAATAATCTCCAGAAAGCTATATGCATGTCATACAAATTCATGTACACATATTAAGAAAAAAAAGAAATAGTGTTTAGGTGTGCATCAGCTCCACACTGGGGACTCCTTCACCAGATTTACAGGCGTTTGCAAGTGCTGCCTGGACTAAGGTGTGTTAGCCATTCATCCTGACTAGCTGCAAGCCATCAGGAATTCTTTCGCTGGGCATCCCTTGTAAAAAAGGGGACTACCACAAGCAAACGTCATCCTGCTCCCAAGCCTTATTTGCATGACTGCCACAACTACTCTGACTTATTTAAGCCATGACGGACGGCTGTGTCTCCTCTGAGGCATACTCTCCTCTGAAGGGAGGAAGGCACTCATTGTCACCAGTGAGAGATTTTTCAAGCACTCAAATGCAAATAATTCAGAAGAGTATTTTTGTGAGGAGCACAGCAAAGGAGGAAAGGGTTAAATTCCTTCCCCACTCTTGCTGCAGTCCCATAAATTGTCAGGTTCTCCCCAGCTGACGCAATTTGCACCCAGATCTGCTTCAGAGACCACAGTGCAATAGATACTGAATTGACTCTGCTACCCAGGCAGATTGCATGAAGTCACAAAAATGATTTGACAATCCAAAGCTGTTTACTTTCATTCCAAACATAGCCATTGTTATCTGCAAGCCTAATAACAGTTATTCATGGTAATTTATTCATTTATATAATAAGTAAATTCCACAATGGAGTACAGATAAGTTGTACGTATGCATGAAAAATTGTAGGCAATTTGGCAGTACATAAATATTAATGGATGAATTAATGAATGAATAAAGTAATAGGATCTTCTACTTTGTCCTGTGCTAGTGAAGCCTCACTATAATATATGCTTCAGACTAGAAGAGGAAAAGAAAAGAGAATGGAGGGGGTGTGGCCTGGATAATAAATGGCACCATGAGAAAAGTACAGCCAGAAAGAGAGAAATAGATGGGCTGTATATGGGCGTGTGAGCACCAGAGGAGAGAAAGGTGCACAGTGTATGCACGGCGAAAAGAACCAGATGCGCTATGTTCATGCAAGTCAGAGGTACACGGGAGGAAAGGTGATGAGAGGAAAACATGAGCCGGTATCACAAACATGCTGGGGGAGAAGGAATGAGACATGAGAGAGAAAAAGTGGCGCTCCCACAGTCTGCTAATTAGGCAGTGCAGAGAGGGGGAGAGTTCTTCAGAGGAATGTATCAGCCAAAACATTGGCTGCAAGCCCTGGACAGTTGGAATATAGCTTGGGATTTTCATTGGATACACTTTGGGTGGCTTTCAAAGTTTCTAGCTTTCATCTAATGGTACCTTCCCATGACAACTGATTTGTGCTTTCTGGGGCGCCATACCCATTTATGAGGGGCCTTCCGTATAAAATACAGAAGACTCAGAGCCTTAGGTGTGGTTTTTCTATTGATTTGTAACTATTTTGCTGTACAGATCAGACAACTCTTACATTTATTAATAACTCAGCTGTTGACCCAGAACTCATTTGACCCCTTATAGAGTTCTTGAGAGAAATCCTTCATAATGAAAGTATTTTAACTCTAAACATCAACCCCTAAAATAGAAATAAAGCTCCATCCGATGCACATCTTGACAGAAAAAGTTCCACAACTCCTAGCATGCCCAGCCAGCCATAAAAATCGGTGAAAGGACCCAGGCATTGGGAAAGAAGGCAGAATGACCTCCTGCCCTGGCAACTATCCACTGAGGACAGTAGTCCTCTGTATCTAGCATCTTCCAGTCTTGGAACATTTACTTTCAGCCATGTTTATCATGTCCTGTATTATAACAACCAGTATAGATTGTTACATTGATTCCATATGTTAAACTATCAGCATTGCTCACCCCAGCATTACTTTGTATGATAAGTAAGAAAGTTCCAGTGACTCTTCTCTGTCATCTATCAGTTTGGTGTGTACATTGGACAGCAATAAAATATATACAATAGTGCAATGCAGCAACAACTAATGTAGGTTTCATGTGCACATCTAACTAGGATGGCCTGGATTCTATACTGTTCATTAATGTAACACAAGGGCACTGTCTGCTAGCTCCCCAGTCATTTCCCCCACAATTTCCAAAGGCTCTCCAACCCCTAGGAGACTTTCCATGATTTATTTATTTATTTAGAATATTTATATGCCATCCTTTCGCAGAGCCTCAGGACGGCTTACATAAATAAATAAGAAAAATAGAATAAAACGTAATACAAATAAATTCCAGATCCACCCTGGCTGCAGATTAAAACATATATAGCTAATATTAAATGTTATTAAAATATTGTTGAAATAAAAAGGTCTTAGCCTGGCACCGAAAAACAAATAACAATGGCGCCAGGCGGACCTCTCTGGAGAGCGCATTCCATACGCAGGGCGCCACCGCAGAGAAAGCCCTCCTCCGGGTACTTTGCCTCCTAATGTCTTTCACGGAGGGTTCCCGGAGGAGGGCCTCTGCTGCTGATCTCAGGGGGCAAGAAGGCAAATACAGAAGAAGGCGTTCCTTTAGGTATCCAGGTCCCAAGCCGTTAAGGGCTTTATTGGTAATAACCAGCACCTTGAATTGAGCCTGGACTTCGATGGGAAGCCAGTGAAGCTGGTAGAGGACTGGGGTTATATAAGAATAACGCCCAGTCCCTGTCAGCAACCTGGCTGCTCTGTTTTGCACCATCTGAAGTATCCGGACTGTCTTCAAGGGCAGCCCCACGTAGAGCACGTTACAGAAATCCAACCGGGAAGTAACCAATGCATGTGTCACTGTCGCTAGGCAATTATCCTCCAGGTAGGGACGCAGCTGATGGATTAACCGACACTGAAGGAAAGCGTTCCTCGCAACTGCAGTCACCTGAGCTTCCAGGGACAGCTCTGGGTCGAGGAGCACTCCCAAGCTGCGGACCCTGTCCTTTAGAGGGAGTGCAACCCCATTCAGGGCAAGGTCCAAGTCACCTACCCAGGAGCTCGAACCACAGGAAAATGCAGAGGAAGAGGAAGTGAGAAGGCCTTGATCTGTGCATGCTACTCCATTGACAAAAGGAAAGTGAGGATCTAAAACTGTTCAGAAGCTGCAGCTTTTGCAAAAGGAGGCAGCCAGATTAATAAGTGGGACTAAAAGACTGAACATGTAAGGCCAATTCTGGTTCTCCTGCACTGGCTATTTGTTTCCCTGTGAACTGGATTCAAGATACTGGTTTTGTAAAGCCTTACATGGCTTGAAGTTGCAGTACATGAACCTGAATCTACCTGGACAGTATGGTTATCATCTGAGGCCCTCCTCACAAGCATCCCTTCCAAGGGAAGAGGGCCTTCTCGGTGATGCCCTCGAGTGTGGAAAGATTGCTCCACTGGGCCTGCTTGGCAGTAATAGAGTTATCTTTTTGGTGCCAGGTTATGGCTGCTCTCTACTTCCAGACAGTTAATGGCATATGATAGGACATGTTAGCTGTTTTCACTAGTCTAGTTTTTATTTAAATTGTTTTAGTTTAAATTGTTTCAAATTTTGTATATTGGAATTTTATCTTGCATTTGTATTTTAGTATCTATTTTTATTGCTAGACCTGTTTCATGATTGGGTATGAATCCCCCA